TCTTCTTTTCTAGTAAATATATTTAAAGCTATACATTTTCTTCTATTAACTGATTTTACTGTGTCCCACAAATTTTGCATGTAGTACTTTTATAACTTAGTTGTAAATATTTCTGAAGTTCTTTAATGATCTTTCATATAAGGATTGTTTAATAATTGGTTCCCCCAAATGGGGGCTTTTTAAAGCTTTTTGTTATCAACTGCTCATTTTATTGCATTTTAGTCAGAAAACATGTTTAATATTGATACTTTTGAATTCTTTGAGGGTTTCTTTGTGCCCCAACATGGTCTTATTTTCATAGTTGTTAAGTGTAAGCATAAAAGGAATCTTCTCCATTTGTTAAGTGGAGGGTTATATAGGAATGTGTGACATGTGATTATGTATCAAGCTTAAAAATACATTATTCAGGGCTCCTTAGGAGTATATGTGTTTATGGTAGACATATCCTCCTTGTCAGTGAGTATATATCCTTTGCCTTTTGGGATCTTAAATTTTGTTAGCTATTAAGATGGCTATCCCAACTTTATTTGGACATTTATTAGTTGTCCATATCCTTTCTTCATCCTTTCATTTTCAACATTTCTAAATCTTTGTGTATACTGTTGAACCTTTTTAAAAAATCTAAGGAGGGTCTCTATGTTCTATTTTTATAATTACTATTAAAATTTCTCTTATTTCATAGTCTCCATTTACAGTATTTTTGTTACTTTTTCCTACCATCATACTCAGACCTAGTATTTTCTATATCTCTTGTTCCTGTTTAATCTTCTAATATTATCAATTATAATTATTTAAAATTCTTCATCTGTCCCAATATTTCTGCTTCAGATATCATATGTCACCCAGTGTGGTAGCCAGCCTCCAATATAGCCCTCATGATCCCTGCCTCCTGGTATTCACATCCTGTGTAGTTCCCTCCCATCTTGTACTAGGGTTGGTCTGTGTGACCAAGAAAATGCGGAAGTGTTGGAATGTCATTTTTGAGATTAAGTTATAATAGGCACTGTGGTTCTGTCTTGGTCACAGTCTCTCACCTGCTCGCTGGGACCACGTGTTGTGAGGAGTCCAATGGAAAGGTTCAGGTGGTGAAAAACTGAAGCCTCCTGCCAACGGCCCTATGAGTGGGCCATGTTTGAAGTGGGTCCTTCAGTCAAGTCATGCTTTCAGCTGACTGCAGTCCTGGCTGACAACTTGACTGAAACCTCAGAAGAGACCCTGAGTCAAAACCATCCACCTAAGCTGCTCCCACATTCCTGACCTTCAGAAACTGAGAAAACTAAGATTTGGTTTTTTAACCAAATTAAGATTTTGGTTTTTTCTCTGGAGGTAGTTATACTGCCTCGGTGTCTAGTATTTTGACGCCAAGGTCATATTCCCCTGACATGAGCAGCTGTTCTGGCTGGTAAAATGTACTGAGGGAAGGCCGAAGGCCAGACTTGACTTTACTCAATCACCTGGACTTCAAGGGGTATGGGGATGTGTGGGGAGATGAGCAAGAGGGTGGACAGTTTCAGGTACCACAAAAGCAGAACTCACTCCTTTCACACCACCTGACAATTCCTCTGGCAGGAGTTTCATCTTTAAACCCTTGGAGGAGGCCATCTCCCTAAGGTGTCACCACCAGCCCTTGTGTCTGGAGGGAGAGGAGTGAAGGAGTGACTGACTGCCTCTGTCTGCTCATTTCCTCCCCTCAGCAGGGTGCTCGGTCCCCTTACACTAGCCCCACCCCCAACCTCCATACACCTGTCCTGGTGGATGGAATGATTTCTGCAGTGATGGGGCAGACAAGGGTCTTCCCAAGGTACCATGAAGGAGAGGTAAGAGCCAGAACTTAAATCTCTAACCTATGCTGTATTTGCTGCCTCCAGCCATCTGCCACTTAAAACACTGGCCAGTTAGGGATTCCATTTCTCCATAGGTCTTCCTAGCTGTGTTTCAGTTTCTGGAACTCATGTTTACCTCCGTGGTTTCTCCAGGTTCCTTTTGGGTAAGGGAATCAGTGGCTTGTGTTATTTGCCATCTTGGCATGAACCAGAAGCCCCAGCTAGGTATCCTCGGGGACTAATAGAGGTTTTTGCCCTTCTGGGTATCTCAGTCTCCAAGTCACAGAAAGGACTCCTTTGCCCTCAGAGGTCCCAAGCTGCCATACCGAGAATTGGCTTGACCTCTCAAATATATGAGCTCAATCACAGAATGTACCCAGAGGGTGTCAGCTGGTTACTGACAAAATAGGGGATATTTCAGGTCCTCAGAGGGCCAGATATCCTCATATCTTGGATGGCCCTTGGTGTGTGTGTCGATGCCTGAGCCCCTTATGTGTACTTATTAGACCCACAGTCTTGGGGCACCCCAGAGTGGTCTTGTCCTGCTCTAACAGTGACTGAGTCCTCATCTGAGGAATGTTCAGCTTTCCTAATACTGGGGGGTGGATGAGAGCCTTTTAAAGGTTATCTCCAGCTTTATATGACATTCTTGGGGGAGACAGGTGAGAAGATGGCTGCCCTGATGCCCCTCATCTCTGTAAGCATTGCCTCATGCAGCAACTTCTGGCCAAAACTTGGCATGGCAAGGCCATGGCCTATAGGACCCCAGTTACCTCACCCATTGTCTGCCATGTCCTTGTGGAGGACAGAACCCAGTCTGTGAGAGAATCTGCCTTCTGAGAACTTAAGTGGGAAAAGGGACTTTCTTTTGATCACTAACCTCCAAATAAGTGACTTTTTTGAGGGCCTGAGTTTTATTCGTGCTTGATTTGTTCGTTCACAGTAGTGGGATGGAGAAGGCAAATAAAAGGTATTTGTGAAACAGTTAAGACAAGTACCCATGAGCTGAAAACCCAGTTTAGGTCTTAGAGCCTTAGGCATGGCAAGGCCACAGGCCCTCAAGCTGGCCCCAAAGCAAGTGGCAAGAATAGGAGCCTCAGATCCCTGCCCAGAACTGCCAGCATTAGTGCAGAAGACTCACAGGGAAGGGTCTGGATCCTAGAACTTGTGACATGTGGAAGGATAGAGGTGGCTGGCCCAATGTTTTTCTCTAAGTAGCCCATACTTCCTAATTTTTATAATGAACCTTGCCCTTTTTGAGTCAGGAACTCTCTCTCTCATCCCACATTCAGGAGCCTGTTCTGAAAATATACATTCACAGCCATAATTCAGACCCTTATAGGCAGACAGATGTTCCACACAACAGCCTCAGGCCTTCCTCAAGCAGTCCTCAACCTGGGCTCACCTCCTATAACCAATTCTCAGATCTGTTCTTCACCACTGGGGAAACAGGAGCTACTCTCCACCAAGTAAAGTATTTCTGCTCCATCAGAAAAAGAGCCCCTGGAGACTCCATCTACAACAAAAATTAGGAAGAGGGCAGAGAAATAAACAGACCACAGTGACCTTCATGTGTGCAAAGTACAGTTGTTAAAAACAAAGCAACAAAAACAGAAAAGAGGCCGTGGCCTTCATGGGACAGTGCTAAAGCAGATCCCCATACTCTCAGACCTGTGGAGAGACGGCCCCACGCTCCAACAGGTCTAGGGCTGGCAGGCAGGGAGGTAGGGTCTCACGTGGAGGCCCTCATGGCAAAGAATGGAGATCTGGTGGGGCTGACGGTGGACTGGAGGGAGCCTGATCAAGATGGGGCTGTGGCCTCAGCCCCCTCCTCTGAATCCCACACCTCTGACTGCAGGTAATCAGCGAAGAGAGCCTTGGCCCGGCGTAGGACACGACCCAGGTGGTGTTTTCGCACGAGGCGGTCAAAGTGCATGGCCAGCTCGTTGTAATCCAGCCCATTGCGCATGATGTGGTCACGGTGCTCCAGCAGGATGGCAAGGCAGAGGAAGAGCATGAATGGGTTCCCCCGGCCAAACTCCTGGGGCGGGGGCAGGCCCAGTGGGGGTGGGGGTGGCAAAGACTTCTCAGGGTCTTTCCGGGAGCCCACCTCTGGCATCAAGGGGGAGCCTGCAGCTGCGTCACCAGCAGGAGAGGCCTCCTGGGAGGACGGCGGAGATGAGGAGGATGGGGAATCAGGATGGGAAGAGGAGGAGAGCAGTGGGTCTAAGGAGTTCAGCAAGGGCTCTGAGAGAGACTTGGAGCTAATGAGGGCAGCTGGATGGTGCAATTGGACCAGAGGAGCCCTCCTGGGGCCTGTGTTATCCCTGAGTTGCTGGAGATCATTCAGACTGGCTTGTCTCAGGAGACGCCCCCCACCACCAGGCCCCTGGCTGGTCATAGCCAAGTGGTCAACAGCATCTTCAAAAGCGCTGCCTCCCCCACCTGCAGGCCTCAACATGTGCCTCTGTCGCATGGGCCACCCTCTGTGACCACCGAAGCCAGTGTCTGCCACTTGGCTGGGGGGTCCAACAAGCTCTACCTCATGTTCAGGAGGATCGGGGGGCAGTGAACTCCAGGTAACCTCAAGCATGCGGAGGGCATCATCAAAGGCGAACTCGCGCTTGAGCTCAAGCAGCAGCCAGCGGTAACAGAAGAATAGGTCATCGGCACCAGCTTCTTGCAGATACTGGTAGAAGTCAGGGTCAGCATGTCGCAGCAGCAGCTTGAGGTGGGCGAACTTGGTGGCCATGGCACGGCCGTCAGGATGGAAGTTCGCGGCCAGGCGCTTCATGATGCCACAAAAGCAGACGAAGGCATGGCCTTCATGGTCCATGACAGCGAGGATAGGCGAGGCAAGGTCGCTCATGCCCTGGCAGTAGGACACCTGTGGGTGGGTAACGGCATAGGTGGTGAGCAGGTCGTGCAGTGCCCGCAGGTGTGGGCTATCCTCAGGCCCTGCATAGTAGGGGTGGGCCCGGTCGGTACGCAGCACATCCTTAAGGACTGTGCTGCGGATGAATTCCAGGTCCTCGGGGCTCGCTCGTTGTGCCCACTCGCTCTTGAGCTGCTCGTATTCGCGACTCTTGCGTTTCATGTAGTCCATCCGCTCACGGCCTGTCAGTCCATCTGGGTACACATTCAGCAGGTACCGCCACACCACCTGGCCAGGGGCAAAAGGGATGAGGCTGAGGTTCTAAAGATGAGCCACAACACTCCAGGGTATATCCATCACCACCCATCCACCTGCCTTGGGTCTCTGTCCTCCTTCGGAAAAGTATGCCTTCCTATCTCTGACTCCTAGCCCCTTGTGAAAGAGAGCTTGCTGCCCTGGAACATCTCCATACCATCCCACAACAGTGTGGTCTGCTGAACGTGTCTCAGGAGCTACTCATGACTGCGGGAGTGATGGATCCAACGAGTGGCCAAGGAGGCTCACCTTTCGCAGGGAGGGCTCAACACCACCATGATAGATCCGCAGGCGTAACTCCTCAGGGCGGGAAAGCTGACCCTCGTGGTTCAAGTATGTGTGGAACTCAGCATCGCTCAGGGGTGGCTTGAAGGGTTTGACATCCTCCCCATATGACCAGCTCAGCACCTGCTGGACCTTAGACAAAGTGCGGCCCACCTGTGAAGGAAGGAGAGAGGGAGGCCATGGGTCAGCTTAGGAGGCTAGGGGCAGGTGCCGACTAACACACTCAAGCAAGGGAGCCAGATAGGCCCTACCCTCCAACCATAGCTGGGCCCTGGGGGTCCCTGAAACCACCTGAGAGAGGATGGACTGTGTAAAAGGCAGGGCAGCCGTTGTCAGCGATGACCGTTTCTCAGCCAGTAGCACGTCGGAGCCAATGACATCCTTAGGGCTGATTATGTCCCAGTCTTCCAGCAGTGGGCCTGGGCACACAGAGTGAAGCAACATGAGCATGGGGATGAGAACCCCAGACCTCAGGGCCAGGTTTCTTTCCTACCAAAGTCAGGCCACCAAAGGGTAATGAGCGACTCTCACTCTCCTTTCTCATGTCATCCAAATCATGCAAAAAATAGAGCCATGAATAATTCTTTTCTATTAGAATAACTGTCTTTTATATTAGATAGACCTCACAAAATGGCTGGGCAGAGTCTAAAGTTATATTTTAATGATATAAAGTAATATTTGTTGAGCACTTACTACATGCGCTGTGACACTGTGACAAGGGCTTAACTTTAATATAAATAATAATGACATGAGACAACATTTCCATAGTGCTAAGTACCAAGAAGTATTCTGAGCTTTTTGTAAATATCAGCTCATCTAATATTCACATCCATCCTATAAGTTAGGCACTGTTTTTATCATCACTCTATGAGGAAAGAGGCACAGTCAGGATAAGATAGTTGCCCAAGGCCCAATAGATAGTGAGTGAATGAACCAAAATTTGAAGTCCAGACCCAAAGCTGCAGAGCCCAAACTCTTAATCTTATATTCATGCTAGTTCTCTTCCCACAATCAGTACAGATTACCATGATCATTCTCATTTTATTCTCATTTTAGATGATGACAAAAAGGTTGGAACAATTAGTAAGTGGCCAAGATTCTACAGCTAGGAAATGTAGGGTTGAGATCTGAATCTCATTTATCTCACCCCAGAGCCCAGATAGATTTTAGAAAAAGTATTTGTGGAATAGATATGTCATATATGTTAGACAGAGGAAGCAATGCTATGCTTGACTTTCTCCACCTCTGGCCCTTGGAACATCAGCAGAAGTGTGTCCCTTTTCTCTCTTCTTTACAGCCCCTCATATTCTTTTTTCTTATCTCAAAAGTGATGTGGTGGCCGAAGCAGCAGTGACCACCTGAAGGTAAGTTTGAGAGATTTAGGAGATGTCACTCAGATCTGGTGCCAAAGAGCTGCTAAGTTGACAACAGCAATGTCCAGTGGCTCTTGAACTCTATTATATAATACAAATCAACTTCTATTTGTTTAAACCATTGTCATTTGCAGGCAAATGTCATCCCTAAGCAGCATTTCCATAGAGTTTACTGTACTTTCTTCTACAGAGCTGAGTGGAAGCCAACCGTAGGCAACATTTGGATGTCACTGCCTCTCCCTGGATGTCTCATAACACACTGCAGACCTAAACGGTCCAAAAGGGGAGCCTGGGAGCCACTCTAGACACGACCTTCTCCTCTGCTCCTCATGTGAATGAACAGTGTCTCTATCTGTTCAGTTGCTTAAGCCAGAAACCTGAGAGATGTCCTTGCCACATCTCACTCTCTCAATTCCCAGGGCCAAACCGCTGCTCAGCCCCATGGCTTCTGTGTGCAGAACATACTTCAATTCCACCTCTTCTCTCATCTCCACCTTGTCGCCCTGTCTGAGCCACCACATCTCTTACCTGAAACTGCCTCCTAACTAGTCCCTGCTTCCTCTTTGTCTCTCTCCACTCTCTCTCAACAGCTGCTAGAATGGTCTTTCTAAAACATTATTTGGAGTATTAAAATCCTTAACAGGTAAAATGGAGAAGGTCACACTACAGAACTGGTAAAATGAAGAAGGTCAAACTAATAGTCTGAAGACCAAAGAGAAGAACTCTTTCAAGGCACAGAGCTGAAGTTTGATAATTTAAGTGAAAAAGTAGAGTGATCTAGAGGGCAAGTCCAGGAGACCAAATATGCAAATACTAGGAAATGCAGGGGGAGAAAGGGGACCAGGTGGAGGTAGTATAATCACATAGGCATGAAGGAGAATGTCCCAGAGATTAAGAAATGGCTCAAGTCTTAAATAGGATTACTTAACAAACAGCACATATGATAGGCCTCCCCCTTACCCTATTCAGATGCTAGTGAAATATCCAAATTCCAAGAAGGAGGAAAAACTCTTGCCAGCTTCCAAAGGTAAGGAACAGGCTGCTTACAACAAAAAGAAGGTCAGAAGGGTGACGGACATTTATTCTAGAACTCTGGAAGCAATAAGAGAGTGGCTCATGGCCCCTGTTGGAGCACTGAGAAGAAAGGCCTAAGATCCAAGGACTCCATGCCCAGCTAAGACAGTACATATCAGCAGTGGTCAAAGAAAGACATTTTTGGTCATCAGAGTACATCTAACCCATGCTCCTTATTGGAGATAAATAAGTTTTCTAAGCCAATGACTACTGATTACAGGGGCTCAAGGTGGAGAAGGCAAACGAAGGGTGATGGGCCACAAGTTTTTAATATATAAAATTAAACATAAAATTACAGAGATACTGTGGTTGGGAGTTTGTAATCTTAAGTGTTACTTTAGGATTCCTGAGACATAAGTGACCTACTATAAAGAAAATATAATGATAGCCTAGAGTTTAAAAAGAAACAAAAATTACCATTTCAGGAAAACCCAGAAGTTAAGCGTTAGTTATCAGAGGAAGAATAAAAACTAGAAGTGTTCCAAAGCTTCCATTTCAAGGGCTGGGGAGGGTGGGAGAGACTAGAGAGGAAAAGTGGTCTATAGATTTCACTGTCAATTGTGTAAAAGAGCATAAATCCAGCTATGGGATTTTTATGAAAGACAACCTAAAACCAGGTGACAAAGAAAGGATGAAAATTAAAGACACCTAAAGGTATACCTGGCAAACACAGAAAGCAAGAGCAGTAATGTGAATGTCAGAAAAAGCACCACTCAAGGCCAAAAACATTACAGGAATAAAGAGACATTCTACATTAATTTTAAAAAGAATGAACAAATCCATTAATAAAATAGGCAAAGGATTTCTACAAGCACAAACTCATTTAGTGGCAAAACCTGATCTGAACTGACACAAGACTATATTTAGTCTTTACGTAACCCACTAAGTGTGAATATGCACATTTCCCTGAAGAAACACCCAAGTGTTTCCTTATAGGGTGTTACCCCAGGCCCTGCTTGTGATATTACACAATATACACTATATGTACTACATTTCCTCATCATATAATTGCCAAACTTCCCAAACCTTAAATTAATATATAAATGCTATGCAATGCCAATCAGAAATCTAACAGGGTTTTTCCTGGAACTGGATAAAATCATTTAAGGTTCATATGAAAGAATTCACACTTAAGAATAGTTAAAAAGAAGAGCCAAGATAAAGAATAATGGGAAGATGGCAATGCTTGCCTTATTAAAATTTACCACAAAACTACTGTAATAAAAAATGGTGTTAGCACAGCAATAGACAAATATAGCCAATCAATGGAATGCAATAGAAAGCCCAGAAATCAATCCAAGTACACATAGGAACTCGGTATGTGACAAAAGTGGCATTTCGAATCTGTAGAGGCGATTGTTTAAAAAATGATGCTGGTATAATTGACTATTTATCTGGAAATTTTTTAAAAGTTAAGTCTACTTATCACAATGTTGACAGAGTAGATATTTATATGCTAAAAGAAAAGAATAAGCATATTAGAAGAAAATGTAGGAAGATACTTAGATAAACTTGTGGCTGGAGAAGATGTTCCAAAGTAAGAGAAACTCAGAAATCATAAAGGAAAAGATAGATATATGTATAAGACTGCATAAAATTTTTAATTTTTGATAGGACAAAAAAGATACCCCAAACAAAGCCATGTTTACAAAAGGTAAGCTGGGAAACAATATTTGCAATACATCTGATAGGAAGAGGATTCATATCGCAAATGCACAAATTGGTCATCTGATCACAAAGGTGACAGAAAATGACTTCTTCCCATCCAAGTGGTCACAAGATGCCTGTTGCTTTCACAGTCATGAACACAATCACAAGAATGCTATTAATATTTATATAACAGCTCCATCTATTGGATACTTATTAATGTATAGTATGATACCATTTATGTTAAATACATACCATTTGTATATATATAGAAATATGAATATACTGATGTAACTCTATATGTAGATAAATGTGTGTGTGTGTGTGTGTGTGTGTGTGTGTGTGTGTGTGTGTATGTGTGTGAATAAATAAAAGGACCTGAAAGATTACACACCAAATCGATCAAAGTGATTCTTGCAGGGCAAAGATTGAGGATTGAGATTAGGCATAGTGGTTCCAGAAGTCTTTGGCATTATTTGAAATGCCTTCATTTTTGATAAGGAGAATGTATTTTATTGGGTAATTAAAATTTAATTTCTTTTAAAAATGTAACTCCAATCAAATTCCCATCAGGATTTTAATAGA